CCTCCCCCATGTGCCCCCTCCCGCCATTTCGCCCTCCCCAACTCTTTTGGGCCGCTCACCCAGCACGCAGGGGTAGAGCGCGTACGACAGGTACACCATGGCCTGGGCGTCGTGCCTGTTGGTGTTGTGGGCGCTGTCGCTGTAGGAGGCCTTGTCCTTGATCGACAGGAAGGGGAAGGACTGCTTGATCGACACGTCAAACGCCTTGGTCACCTTCCAAAACTCAATGGCCGTGCCCACGGCTGAGGCCAGGCAGCGGTGAGGGGAGGGAGGGAGATGTGAAGAACAATAAATATAGTTGTGAGAGAAGAGTGTGTAAGAGTGTGTGTAAAGAGAAAAAGTGAGTGTGTGTGTGTGTGTGTGTGTGTGTGTGTGTGTGTGTGTGTGTGTGTGTGTGTGCACGCACGCGCGCGCGACGCGATGCGCCGCAGCAGGTCAAAACCACGGCAGGCACATGGGTTGGGGCGGGAGGCCGGGGGGTGCGCGCTCCGCCTCGGTCACAGCAGTCCCTGGGGGCCTCCAATCCTGCACCCGAGCCTCTTCACACCGCCGCACCGCGATCTCGCCCTTTTACACCCCTCCTCTCGTCCTGCCACCCTCTTGCCCCCCTCACCTGAGCTGATAAGCACGACCGTGGATGTCTCATTGTCGAAGAGGTAGAGAAGGATGATGAGCTGGCAGACCGCGTTGACCATGATTGACCGCGCGCTGAGGCCCTCCATAGACCGGTTGTCCTTCCAAAAGGCTACGTCGTTCTTGAACGCCAAAAAGTCAAACACGCTGTGCAGCAGGGACACCACCTGGGGGTGCGATTAGCGGGGTGTGGCGATGCGGCGGGGGAAACGGGCAGCGCGTGAATGGATCCATGCCGGACCCAGTGCGTTTGCACGCTGCAGAAGAGAAGCCGCATGTCAGTCACACGATTGCCGCAGCTGGACAAGCCACACCAGCAAGTGCACCCCCGAGCCAGCGGCAACCCTCCCATCACCCCGGGTCCGCCCCCCAAGCCCGAAACCCTGGCCCCACCCCCACCATGGTCAGCGCCAGCAGGTAGGGGTTGCCCTCCAGGAAGATGCGCTTCACCTCATCACTCTCCCCCTCACCAGCGATGCCCATGCTCGTCTGCATGTTGAAGGACTGCTCCATCTGCGTGGCGGGGCGGCGGTGTGGTGCGTGTGTGCATGAGGGCGGTGTGGTGTGTGGATCACAGTCACGGCAGCGGAGAAGCAAGTTGCAAGCAGCAACTTGCTGCAGCGACTGCCTAGTTGGCCGTACGCAAAGCCGGCGCAGTAGGCCGGCCCCATAAATTTTGTGAACCAGAAGAGGCGGCCACAGTTGCTGATGATGATGGCACGGCACGCGCGGCACCCCCACACGCAGTTCAAAATCCTACGTGGCCGCGCCTGCGCGTCTCCCGCCCCCACTCCCATGTGCCCGTGTGCGCACGCGCGCGCGCACCTGCTGCTGCAGCTGCATCCACCAGATGCTGCCCGTCTTGACCTCCAGGTGCAGGGGGGTCTCGAGCAGGCTGTCGTTCACGGGCACCATCTTGTCGCGCAGCAGCCAGAACTCGTCAAAGTAGGACAGGGGCAGGTACTGCTCGCCCTCCTGGTCCGCAAACTGGAAGTGCTCGCGCAGCTGTCGTGTGCGCGTGTGTGTGAGTGAGTGTGTGTGTGTGTGGTTTGATTTGTGTGTGTGTGTGTGTGTGTGTGCTGTGTGCGCGCGTGCCTGTGTGCAAGCGCGCGCATGTGCGTGTGAATATACACGCGCGTGCAGGTAAGATAAGGACGTGTGTGGACAAAAAAGCTGGGTAGGTGGATCCGCACGCATGAAGCGCACATCATTGGCGGCAACAGCATTCCTGCGGCAAATGCCATCAAGGGTAGATGGGGTCGAGCAGCGGCAGCAATGCCCCGGGCAGCCGCGGCCTGCTGTCCTGCACAGACTGCGCTGCCGGGCACTCTTGCACGCACAGCCCCAAGCTGGCAGGCGCGCCCGCTAGTGCGCGCGTGCGCACCGGCTGCGGCACGTTGGCGCGGGTGTACGCCGTGAAGTGGTCGATGATGGACAGCGTGGCGTTGGGCTTGAAGTGCGACACCCACTGGGCCGGGGCCGCCTCCTGGTCCGACTGCGGAGACAGTGCGGCACGTGCATGCGTGTATGGGCAAATGAGCGCATGCTCGTCCGTTGTGCTGAGGTTGCGTGCTGCGTGGGTTGGCTGTTCGCGCCTGCGTGCATGCGGGTTGGTCATTTCGTTCGACGACGTGCGACAGGTGGGAGGAGCGCCCGCCAGCGCTGCCGCCCAGGCGCGCCATCAACCCCACCACCGCTTGGCTCGCCTTGGGCGTGGTGACAGGGCCACCCTCCGCCGCCAGCAGGTTGACCCCGGTCTTGTTCTTGAGAGGGGCCATGTAGCGGATCAGGGCTGGTGGGTGTGAAGGGGGGGGGGGCAGGCTGGTTGATGCCCCGACACTCTGCCTGCAACAAACGCAGCACTGAGTGACCAAGCGCGTGCCCGTCGCGCCAGCTTTTCTAAGCCGTCCCGCTCCTCAAAACACCTGCAGGCTTTGTCTCCCGTGGTTGTTGCGACAATATTGTATTTGATGCGGCACTCACGCAGGGTCTTCGTGAAGACGCTCCCAGGGGGCAGGTCCTCGGCGGCGAAGTCGACGCCGGCGCGCGAGAACACGGCGTGCAGGAACAACGTGCCGTTGTTTTGGACCGCCTGAAGCGGCCGGGTGATGCGGCGGGAGGGACCGCAAAGTGAGGTGGGGCGCGTGCAAATGAACACCGCACGCCGGGCAGCAAATCAGTTGGCGGTTGGCACCGGCGGTGTGCCAGAGCTGCATTTGAGCGGCATGCTCTAGCCGGCAAACGAGAGTTCATTGTAACAACGTAAGACCACATACTCATCTGCATCTACCCGTTGACGCCGCTCAAATACAGCATGCTGGTAGCACGCTCACAGCAGCCGAACGAACATGGGCCCGCGCCGACCCGCCCGCACCTTGCTTGGGCGATATGAGTACGTGTGCTTGTGCTCTGGCGTGGTGCCCAGCGCCACGCCCGGGAGCTCCCACACCAAAGTGCCCTTGGCAAAGTCGTGGAGGTAGGGCCGCTCGTACAAGAACATGCGCAGGTCCACCAGATCGCCGCGCGCGTATAGCGGCCTAAGCATGCCGCCGCTGGCAGCCCCAGTTCCAGCGGTCTGCTGGCCACCGCCCTTGAACATGTTGAACATGTACCACATCATGCCCATGCGGAGGACGGCCTGTAAGAAGGTGCTCACACCGCCCTGTTGCTGTTGCTGTCCCCCGGCCGCGGCTCCTCCAGCCGCGACCGCTGCGGCAGCCGGAGGCATGATTACTGGTGTCTAGCCTTTTATAGACGATCTGAGAGCCACTGAGACGCGCGGTGGGTGGGGGTGCCAAGGTTGAAAGGTCTGGTTTGAAGCTCGAGGGCGATGCGAGCGCCTGTACGACGTGATAATCACAACGATGACTGTCCGTAGCGTATTGAGACTGGACAACAGTTGCATGGTTGATCCAGGTGCGACAGCCGGTGCCGGCAGCCGGCCATGTGGGACAGCTGATCGAGCAACAGTACCGTAGTTGAGCAGCCAACTCCCCAAGACGGCCGCCCCAGGAGGCCAAGGGGACACATCTTGCTGGATAAGGCATGCGTATGAGCAATCATTTCAAGGCACGACCTGTCAAAGTGGAGTATCGCGTCAGAGGCTGTCATGCATGTGACCGTGGTGTTGTGGGCGTCCAACACATGAGCTCCTTTGCCAAAATAGTATCCACACAAGCTTCGCAATTGTTGCAGCACGCCACGCATGGTCGCTTCTGGAGCCATCCAGACTCATGGGACCAGGCTTTTGTTTTCAGCATCACTGCTGTGCGCAGACTCAGGGTGGCTGCCGCGAGCGCGATGCAAGCAGGCGTGCAAGGCTCCAATTACGTGCTGAACTGCTGCTGGCAAAAGAGGTCGTTGGACCTTCCCTGTTGGATCGTGGAGAGCTGCCTGAGTTCTGGTCCAGGAGTGCGGTTTTGTGGCTAAACTGCCCTCCACTGGCTGGTGCCCTTACAAGCCTCAAGGCGCTGCGTTGACCGCCTTGACCCGCTGATGTGGGGGTGGTTGCATGCGCATATGGCAGTGAGGATGAATCTCCAGGTATCTTCAATGCAAAATCTTTGCAATCCTATAGCCCACTGAAGCCCCTTGCTTGCTCATGCATACCTGGCAGTGCGCGGGGGGCGTCGTGTGATCCGGGGGGGAGGGCCCGCGGTCGCGAACGTGACTCACCACACACGTCCGTGCTCCTTAATCCCACGCGGCACCGGTTGAGCGAGTCCTTCGGGGCATGCGAGGTGTACAGCGTAGATCCTCTCTCTCTCTCTCTCTCTCTCTCTGGCAGTGCGCTAGTGGGTTCTGGCAGCTCTTGTGACTTGCATCAACGTTGACAGCCAAAACACGTGATTGATCCACCATATCCAACAGTTGGTGGAGCACCTCAAGGAACCAATAGCTCCACGAGAGGTACGTTGCTTGTGAGGACCAGGGGGTGGGCAATGGTGCTGCATGAGTGCCGTGCAGTCTGAGACACTGCAGCCGTACCTGCAGGTACTTCAAAACTGCAGGTACTAGCGGTACTGCTGGTATGGCAGGACACTTGCTGCAGCATACGCTGTAGCAACTATATTGGCAGCCATGTCACGCGCAGACCTTGGCATCACTCGCATCCCACTTTGCACACGTGACTGTCCCGAGTCAAACACTGATCTCTGTACTTCGTACTATGACGCGGCCCTAGTGCTTTCGAACGCGTGCGCTTTCACTGTATCTTACTCATCATCACTGATATGGCCATTCAAAAAGGTTGGCGGGGTAACGGCCAACCGCACGTCAGACACCTCACCCCTGCCGCATCGGATTGCCAACCTGTGGTGCCCCGCCGCCGCCGCTGTGCAGCAGCGCCCAACAGGCGCGGCTCGCCTGATGATTTGGACATGATACAGAAAGCTGGTATTGTCATCGAATACATACAACGCACCGTGCACCCATATATGGATGCCAAACGGTGATTCGATCGTCGCCCTCCCTCTTTGTGGCATCCTGCGGTATTCTCAGCTGTATGCGGCCTCGCAGACCGCTCATTGCATTTGTGACCGCATTTGCTCATATTTATTGAGCTTGAGACTAGGTCGCAGCACCAGCCGCGCTCGTCAGTGAGGCGCTGCTCCACTCGACCCTGTGCCCAGCAACACTGCCAGGGAACCTCACCATCTGGCAGCAGGGAGCGTCTCGTCGCCAATACCAATCAGACGCCTCCGTGTGCGTCGCCCGGAGCGAGCGTGAGGGCGTCACGAGAGGGATGGTGTTCAGCAGCAGGTGGGCCCCTGTCGACCCCTCGGGCAGTGCTTCGCTCGGAGATCCCGATGCTGAAGACTTTGTACAGGATCAAACGCGTTGTTGCTGGGGCTTGGAGGCTCCCTGGAGACGCAGGCATCGCCCCCGGCATGCGAGATTTACTCACCCCTCCCGTCCTCGCCAGGCACCTCGACCCCCGGGGACCGCTGGCGGCCTCGGAGCGATCATGCTGTTCTAGCATCAGCGCAATCCAGCGGTCAGCCTGCCCCACGGCCCCTCGGCGGCCGCTTCGCTCAAAGATCATCTCCCTGGTGGGCTCGAACGGCGCCAGCAGCAGCGGCAGCAGCAGCAACGCCAGGGCCACGTCCGTCAACGCAGCGGCCGCAACGAGCATGATTGGCCCGTCAGCGCCGGTGGCGACTGGGGCGCCGGTGCTGCCCGTCGCGGGCGTCAGCAGCGGCGGCGTGCTGCTGCCTGGTGCGCGCCAGGTGCAGCAGCCGAAGCAGGCGCCCATGACGGGCCGCGAGATCGAGGAGGCCGCGATGCAGCGCTGCATCGAGCTGCAGCTGCGCCACCCCAACGGTGTGCCGATGCCGCGGCGCGCGTGGGGGGGCTCGCTGCTGGAGGAGGCCTACGAGCGGTGCGGCGAGGTGACGAGCGAGTACGCCAAGACCTTTTACCTGGGCACGCAGCTCATGACGCCCAAGCAGGCGCGTGCAATCTGGGCGATCTACGTGTGGTGCCGCCGCACGGACGAGCTGGTGGACGGCCCCAACGCCAGCCGCATCACGCCCAAGGTGGGGGGCGCCTGGGAGTGGCGCGGCGCCCCGCTGTCCCTGACGGGGTGGGCGAGCGGTTGGGCGCTGCCGCATGCAGGGGCGAGGGCGTTGGCGAGGGATGGTTGCTAAGTATTGTTCGCTCTTGCCCGTGCTGCGGCAAGATGGGGGATGCAGCGCTGCGGTTGCCTGCGCCCAAGTTTGCGTCCAGGGTGGGTCCCGTCCACGTGCGGGGCCTGCGAGACACGGCGCCGTGGGGTGCGCACGCTCGCCGCACCTCCCTCAGCGTCAATCATGAGCTCTCCTGGCCCCCCCCCCTCCCCCCGGGGTGCCGCTCTGTCCAGCCGCGGCCTGGCACGATTCGCACACCGCACCTCTGACGCCGCGCCGCGCGCCCACCCGCCCCCAGGCCCTAGACCGCTGGGAGGAGCGGCTTGAGGCGCTGTTTGAGGGCCGCCCCTACGACATGCTGGATGCCGCCCTCACAGACACCATCGCACGTGAGGCGCACGCAGCCTTGATAATGGGGACATGGGCACCGGGAAGCAAAAGCTTGGGTGGTGCGCCAGCACGCACAGCTTGCGCAACTGGCGTCCTCTTGTGGACCTGTCCCCTTGCGCGCCCCCCCCCAACAGACACACCCTACACCTGGGCGCCCCCTTGCCCCCTTGGCCCACGACCCCACCGCACCCCACCGCACCCCACCCGCACCGTGCCCCTCCCCCCAACACTCCACCCCCAGAGTTCCCCGTGGACATCCAGCCGTTCCGCGACATGATTGATGGCATGCGCATGGACCTGGTGAAGAGCCGCTACCACAGCTATGACGAGCTGTACGAGTACTGCTACAAGGTGGCCGGCACGGTGGCGCTCATGTCGGTGCCCGTCATGGGGGTGGACCCCAAGTACAAGGTGCGCCGGGTGCACGCAGCCATGGGGAAAGTGTGTGTGCGTCCTTGTGTGTAGGGGGTGTGTACGGGGAGCCCAAGGCGAGGTTGTGTGATGGGGCAGGGGGCGGTGTGGCTTTTGTTGGACGCGCTCCCTCCCCTGGGGAGGGGAAGAAGGCCTCCCGGCTGCGCGCAGAGGCTTGCGACTGGCGCCAGCCGCGCACTGTTTGCTGCCCGACCTCGCGCCCGGCCGCCGCCAACGCCCGTCCCCTGCTCCACCGCGCCCCACCCGACCCCAACCCCCCCCCCAAC